TTACTATTAATATTATAATACCATCCCTTAATTCATATTCCATCAAAACTTGTAACACCAATTCCATCCCTTAGTCTAAGAAATTGATCAGTCTTGATAGCTTTCGTCAGAACATATGCCAACTGCTTCTGAGTGCTGCAGTGTACAACTTCTAACACTCCACTCTGAACTTGATGTCTCAGAAAATGATACTTGGTCTCAATATGCTTGCTTCTCCCATGAAACACTGGGTTTCTGGCAAGATTGATTGCAGACTTGTTGTCAATCATCAACTTCAGAGGTTTGTCTACTTTAATCTTCAGATCCTGCAATAGATTCAGAGTCCACACAGCTTGGCATGCAGTAACAGCACCTGCAATGTATTCAGCTTCACAGGTTGACAACGCCACAACAGGTTGCTTCTTGGAACACCAAGAAATGGAACCTCCCAGAAATTTGAACAAGTACCCAGATGTACTTCTTCTGTCAACTCTGTCTCCACAACAATCAGAGTCTAAATAACTCAGAAGTTCTGACTCATTATTTCCTCCAGAGGGAAATAACACTCCATACTTCAGAGTTCCTTTGATATACCTCAGAATCCTGACAGCAGCTTGGTAATGTGACCACTTAGGTTTACTCATGAACCTACTAACCATCCCAACTGAGTAGCAAATATCAGGTCTGGTATTGCACAGATACCTCAGAGAACCAACCAACTGTTTGAAGGTTGTAGCGTCCACATCCTTTCCTTCAGAGTCTGAATCCAGTTTCTGATTTGTATCAGAAGGTGTGACAGCCATCTTACAATTCTTCAGATCAAATCTCTTCAGAAGTTCTAATTCATACTTGAGCTGATGCAAAATGATACCTTTCTCAGAATATCTGAACTCCATCCCTAGAAAGTATGTCATTTTGCCTAGATCAGTTATTTCAAATTCATTCATCAGAACTTTCTTGAACTTGGCTATCTCCTGTTCAGAACTTCCAGTCAATAGTATATCATCAACATATAAACATACCAGAGTCATATTGCCTTCAGAAGTATGCTGAACATAGACACCGTACTCCATCTCACATTTCTGAAAGCCTTGCTTCTTAAAAAATGAATCAATCTTCTGATTCTAAGCTCTGGGTGCTTGTTTCAATCCATATAGAGCTTTGTATAATCTGTACACCATCCCTTCCTGATTCTTTTTCACAAATCCAGGAGGTTGTGACACGTAAACTTCTTCTTCTAATGGACCATTCAAAAATGCAGATTTTACATCTATATGCATCAGAGGCCAATTCCTGTTAGCAGCTATTGCAATCACCATTCTGATTGTTTCATGTCTTGCTACAAGTGCAAACACTTCAGAATAATCCAGCCCAGGTTTCTGTAGAAATCCTCTGGCTACCAACCTTGCTTTATGTTTGCCAATTGAACCATCTGGCTTTAACTTCTGCTTGAAAACCCATCTAACGCTGATGGCTTTCTTGTCTTTTGGAAGTTCTGTCAGCTTCCAAGTCTTGTTTCTCTCTATAGCATCAAGTTCTTCTTTCATGGCCTTCAGCCAGAGCTTCTGCTTAAGAGCCTCTTTTGTACTTATGGGTTCAGAGTCTATCATCATGGCACACTGAATAACTTCTCCTTTAGAGTCTACTTCAGTGTCTTGCAGCATGTCAAATTCTGCATATCTTCTGGGAACGCTTCTGATTCTTTGTGGTCTCTGAACTTGTTCAGAGTCTTGAGCTTCAGAGTTTCCAGCTTCAGATGGTTGACTTCCTCTAGAGCTTTGACCATCTTCAAGATCTGACATATTTTCAGAGTCTTGGCCATCTTCAGAGTCTGAATTTCCACCAGAATCTGGATTATCATAAGAGTCTGGATCATCAGAGTCACCTTCATCTTCTGAGTCTTCTCCAGAGTCAGAATCACTATTAGAGTCAGAATCAACGTCAGAGTTTACTTCAAATTCAGAAATTCTTAACTCTGACCTTTCTTCAGATGTTCTAACATCAGAATCAGATTGAGACTTATCCCAATTCCAAACTTCTGATTCCTTCACAATCACATCTCTACTGAATTCAGTTTTATTGGTTTCTGGACAATAGAGCTTGTATGCACCTGTACTGTGGTACCCTATCAGAATCATCACTTTGCTTCTATCATCCAGCTTCTGTCTTCTGGCTTCTGGAACATATTTATAGCAAACAAAACCAAACACCTTCAGATGACTAACACTTTGCTTATCTCCAGTCCACTTCTGTATTGGAACTATTTCCTTCAACTTCTTCGTAGGACATCTGTTGAGTACATACGTTGCAGTGGCAACAACTTCTCCCCAGAGCTTCTGAGGAAGCTTCTTCTCCTTTAGCATGCTTCTCACCATATCAAGCAAAGTACGATTTCTTCTTTCAGCAAGACCATTGTGTTGAGGGGTATAAGGAGCAGTAACCTCATGCTCAATTCCATTCTCCTCACAGAACTTCTGGAACTCTTTGGAGTTATACTCACCTCCACCGTCAGTTCTAAGAATCTTCAACTTCTGACCACTCTGATTCTCAGCCTTCATTCTGAATTTCTTGAATTCATCAAACACCTCGTGTTTGAACTTAATAAGGGATACCCATGTCATTCTTGTGAATTCATCAACAAATAACACAAATTATTTATTCCCTCCAATTGATGCTACTGGAAATGGACCACACACATCAGAATGTACAACTCCCAAGGCATGTTTTGCTCTTGGAGCAACTTCTGACGCAAATGACAAACGTGGTTGTTTTCCTTCCATGCAAACTTTGCATGACTTCTCAGGCTTCTTAATTGCAGGAATTCCATGTACCAGCTTCTTTGAATTCAGATGTTTTAAGCTTCTGAAATTCAAATGACCAAATCTTCTGTGCCACAGCTCACTCTCCTTCTCAGCACATGTTGCACTAAGACATTCTGAGTCTGCAGTTCTGACATTCACCTTGAATGTTCTATTCCTTCCTTGTTCTGACTCCATAATCAACTTCTGATTGCAGTCATATAGCTTCAGAAGATTATCCTTCATGGTAACTGAAAAACCTTTCTCAATTAATTGTCCCACACTCATCAGATTGCTTCTGATGCCAGGTACATACCACACGTTCTGAATCAATACTGTTTTCCCATTGTTCAGAATCACTCTGACATTTCCCATACCTTCTGCATTAAGATATTTGTCATCAGCACATCTGATTTTTGTTCTCTTTTCAGAGTCAAAGTCAACCAGCCATTTCTTGTTTCCAGTAAGATGATTTGAACAGCCAGTGTCCATATACCACCAGTCTATCAGATCCATATTATCAGATTCAGAAGCCATCAATAGCACAGATTCGTCATCAGAACTTCTGGCTATATTTGCTTCTTCTGATTTTCTCTCCTTGTTTGACCAACAATCTCTAGCAAAATGACCAAACTTCTTACAACAGTAACATTGGATCTTCTTCTTGTCATACTTCTCTTTTCCCTTCTGAGCATTCTTTTGTCTATCAGAGGTTGAGCTTTCTGACTTCTGACCACCATCAGATCTTCTCCTGACTTCTGACTGCTTCTGATACCTCCTATCAGAAGTTGCTTTCAGAGCCTGCTGCTCTACTTCCTTTTCAGAAGTTCTCTCAGTCAAACGCAACTCTTGCGCTTCTAGACTGCTCTGCAGCTCTTCAATTCTCATGGTGCTCAGATCTTTGGAATGTTCTATTGCTACCACAATGTAATCAAATTGAGGAGTAAGGGATCTCAATACTTTCTCCATGATTGTTTCTTCTGAAAGAGTTTCTCCACACGCCTTCATCTCATTAGGGATCAGAATCATTATGGAGATGTATTCAGAGACTTTCTCATTATTCTTCCTGTTGAGATTCTCATATTGCTTTCTCAAGGACTGAAGCTTCACATTCTTCACTGATGCGTCACCACCATAACATCTCACCAGTGTGTCCCACGCAGCCTTTGCTGTTGTTGAATATGCAATCTTCTCAAACACATTTACATCCACACATTGATGAATGAAGAACAATGCTTTCTGATCCTTCTTCCTTACTTCCTTCTGCGCGTTTTTCTGTTCATCTGTTGCATTTGCTGCTACTGGAACATAACCATCAGTGACAAGATCTAGAACATCTTGAGCACCAAACAGTACACGCATTTGGATCATCCAACGATTCCAGTTTTTACCGTCAAATACTGGAAGCTTGGTGTTCATGTTGCCGTTTCCGTTCATCTTCACCTTGCACAATACACTCAGATTTCTCACACAGTGTTTCCCAACCCACAGAATAAAATTCTGATCAGATTTTGTTCAAGATTCAACACGAATCTAAGAATCAAAATCAAATACACAAGACCTCACGTTCACTCGTGTTTCCCGTGTTTCCCAATGAATTCGAACCGGAACTCTAGATACCAATTGTTGATGCAAAGGTAGAATAAATGATGAAAAAAACGAAATATTCTATTAAGAATAACAACTACAAAAACATGATAATAGTTACAATGATTGTCACCCTATTTATAAGATAAAACTAGGGTTACTAGAATAAGATAAAATACTAACAAACTTAGGAGCTAAGGAAAATAGTACAACTAAATAAATATGAATTACTATTAATATTCTAATAGATTCGTTGGAGTGGCAAAACAATTCGTTAATTTTTTTTAGTTGGATAATATTTTTTATTTTTCGTTTCTTCTTTCTTTTTATTTTGAAGGTTTTCGTGTTTTGGAAGGGATTAACTATCTTTGTGCCCTTATTAATATATCTTGTATGCTTATTAAAAAAAAATCATTATCTATTATTAATGGTTTAAATCTTAAAACATAATTGTTGCTGACAATGATGATGATTTAATCTAAAAATATATGTAGTTTATAAAATATGAGATAGAGTACTGCCAAAAAAAAATGCGATAGAGATTGCTGAAATTTTAAAAATATAAAATAAAATGTTTTTGATTTCTTCTCATTCATTCTCCAAATAGAAGAAACTTGTAATTTCTGATCACAAACCATGGAGTTGTGGAACAAAGCTCGAAGCTTTGCAGAAGAAGCATCGAAACGATCGCAAGACCTTTCCTTGGGCGCTCACAAATTCACCGAAATCATAGCAGAAACTACCAAGGGGATCGCGGCACAAGCTCAAGCTTCCGTGCACTTGGCCGAATCTTCATTCAATAAGGATGTCGATGTTGATCTCAATCTTGAGAGTTTCGGTATCACCGATGAATTGAGGGAGTTCATCAAAGGAATCACCGTCGCTACATTCCGAGATTTCCCTCTTCAAGGTTTCTTTCATTTTTTTTGTTGCTTTTAGTGTGGAAGATTAGATTAGGGTTAAATGCAAGTGTTCTAAATTATACAATGTTCAACCTAGGTGAAATACTTCAACCAATGCAAATATATTCTTACATTCATGAAGAGATAAGTCCCTCACATAATTTTTGCCTGGTAAATATTGTATTAGAAAAAGTGTGTTAAAGAGTGAGTTGGTAGTATTTCTTAAGGCTGTGTTTGGAAACTTAGGCTTTATTTCAAACATGCTACTACAAATTCCAAAAAAGTTTGGAAACATAGGCTTTATTTTGAATGCATTACAATTGGACGTACTCGCGGAACACATCCAAGAGCTAGCACTGAAAAGCATACTTTTTGTAGATGATATAATTTTACCTAGAGAGTCAAAGGAGGATTTAATGAAAGGTTGAACACTTGGAGACGAGTTTTAGAAACACATGGTTTTCGCCTCAGCAGAATTAAAACGGAGTGAATGGAATGTAAGTTCAACAAAAGAAGAAGCATTTCTAACCTAGTGGTGAAAAATGGAGACCATATCATCCATTAAGTCACATGGTTTAAATATCTTGGATTTGTAATACAAAATGATAGAGAAATAAAAGGGGATGTAAACCATCAAATTCAAGTTGCGTGATTGAAATGGAAGAAGGTTTCAGGGGTTTTATGTGACGCAAAGGTACCGCTCAAACCGAAGAGAAAAATTTATCAAACTATGGTAAGATATGCGATATTGTACAGAACATAATGTTGGGTGGTTAAAAATCAAAACGAGAATAAAGTAAGTGTAGCAGAGATGAGAATGTTGTGTTGGATGTGTGGTAAAACTAGTCATGGTAGGATTAGGAATGAGAATATTAGAGAGAGAGTTGGGGTAGCATCTATAGTATAGAAGATTGTGGAAAATAAACTTAGGTGGTTTGAGTATATAGAGAGAAGACCTGTAGATTCTATGATAAGGAGAGAAGATTAGATAGATAGAAGTCAAACAACTAGAGGAAAATCTAGAAATACTTTAAGAGAAGCTATTAAGAAAGATCTCGAGATTAAAGATTTGGATAAAAATACAGTTCTGGGTAGAACATTATGGCGAAAGTTGATCCTTGTAGCTGACTCCACTTAGTGGGATAAGTCTTTGTTGTTGTTGTTGTTGTTTATTCAGCTCAATCAAGCAAACTAGATTTTGGATGCATTACTGTTCGTAACTGACAAAACCAATCCGTTGCATTTTCTACTCTTTTTTTTTTTTCATTCCAAAACTCCCATAATCCTACTTTCCACTGACTCAATCAAGAGAACACTTGTACTTCAATATCAATGCAACAAGGATTGGTGTAGTGATGAGGGGCTTGGATTATTTCTATGAGATCATAGGTTCTAACCTCATTGACACCACTGCATAAAAAATAAAAAAAAATAAAGTAATACTATTAAGTTTGAAATTTTTATAATTTGTTTTTACTTCCTTTTATTACTCTTCACCTGAGAAGCTTATCTCAATTTTAGTTTCCATTTGCAGATGATACAGAACTGTCTGATGTTCCTGCAGTTTCAAATATTAGGCAGGATCTAACCGAGTGGCAGGAAAAACATGCCAAACTTGTTCTTTCTACTGTCAAGGTAGAATCTATGTTTAGTTTCTGTTGAAGACTCCAAAGTACACACACAAACATAAGTAGATAAAAACACAAAGTGTCTTGAGGGTTGAGGATTAAATTTTTAGCTTATTAATCATTATTTGTGTGAATCAGAATAACATAGGTGGTTCCGTAAAATTTGGGAGACTATTTTCAAAGCTTTGCATATCCATTAGTACTTTTATCAGTGCAAATGGACTGCATGTTTGTGTTTTAACAAATACAAGAGAAGCACTGATTAATTGGAGGGGAGATATCCTTTTTCTAGTTTAACTGTGTTTGCTTACTTACGAGAAGTTACAGATATATAGGCAATAGAAAATCTCTGTGTAATTGTATGGGTGTGACTTGCAAACAAAGCCATCTTAAGTTTTTGGAGGCCCAATGTAGATTAGCTACATTGCAACTGTGACAAAACATTCAGGGCCCTATTTAGCCATGATTTAACAGTGGAAAATCTATTATGAGACCCTATTTAGTACCAGTTTCAACGTGAGAAATTTAAGGCCCTGTGTTGTAGTTCACTTTGCACACCGTCAAAGACGGCCCTAGTTACAGATAGTGGAACATTTGTGTCTTTGTCGATCTTTTCAATACAGAGATATTTTGTGTGTGTGGGAAGTGAGATAGAGCATGGTTGTTAGATCCAACAAGTAACAACCCATAATTGCTTCTGTGACATTCTCATGGTGATACTGAGATCCATCATGTTTATTGCTGATATTTTACTATGGTAGAAATATGGCTCTGCAGTATTCTTTTATCCACGTTTGTTGTTTGTGCTAATCAAAGGGTCCAAAGCACTGATTATATGTTTAGTTAATCCAGCATGAAGAAAGTAAAATCTCACACCCTGGAGTATAGTTTATTTTCTTCTTAAACTGGCATTTTTGAAAACTAACGCTTTCTCACTGTTCAATTTATTCTTTGTAGGAGATTTCATTATTGAGGTATGAGCTGTGTCCACGTGTTATGAAAGAGAGGAAGTTTTGGAGAATATATTTTATACTCATGAATAATCATATTGCACCGTAAGTAATTTATATTGTTGCTTGAGTATTTTGATTTTCGTATTAAATTTTGTTATTTGACTTTTGTCTTACCCAGATTAATATAATACATGACTATTTGGTCCTTGAAGTCTAAGAAAACTATACAGTCTTGTATTATAGGTTTTCTTGTTACTAAATGAATGAAACAAAAGCATATATGTAATTAAGCCTTTTAAATGACAAAGATCACAATGCATGCATATGACTATAATGACTCTAGGAACTTCCACTGTAGTAAAATGAACATGTGAAATTTTGAAAAATATACTCTAGACTGTAGAAAATGGCTCATATTGGCAGTTTAATGCTATTATCCACATATGACGGTTCAGTTGTTTAAGACGATAACAATTTTTACTATTTTATTCAAAATTTTAGTAGACTGTTTTTCATTCTTCTGTGCTATAGTTATATATTGTTTGGGTGGATATTTTTCATTCTTCTGTGCTATAGTTATACTGTTTTGTAACTTATAGTAGACTGTTTTTTCCTATGGTTTACTTGCAGCTATGAGAATCGGTCTATGGAAGATGCTAAACTAAAATCATCCGAACGAGTTAAAGATCAAATAGTGATGAAACCATTAGAAGTTGAATTAACCTCTAATCAAGAAGTCAATGAAATGAAAAAAGAGACCAAAACATCAAATTCATCACGCCATCAAGACTTGGATGCATTCCTTCTGGGAGATACAGAAGACAGTGATGATGACCCAGGTATATGTTATTCATTTTGTCTTTTAAAATCTATTTGTTTATGTAAGATATACCAATGTATTTCAAGTACACTTTTGGCCTTGTTTACTACTACATTTGTTCCAAATTATAAGTCGCTTTGCAAAAAAAAAAATTGTCTCAACAATAGTTTGTGCAATAGGCTACTTTTATCAATGCCTGATATTCCCCTTGGATGATCTTCAAACAGACACTCACATAGAATGGAAGCAAAAAAAATTGCTTCTCGACAAACATGTTGACTTGGAAAGTGTGTCCAGTTGGTTCAATGTTTCCAAAAACACACACGGGCGCGCACACACACACACAATTATTTCAACTATTTTGCTTGTCAAATCTAAACGCTAGCCCCACAAGACTGTCATTTTCTTCATGTTTGCCTGTTTTATTTTAGTCTTGAGACTGCCATGTTTTCAGAGTTGGAAATTTTAGCAGTTTATCTAATGGCAATTAATATGCTTTGGGGAATATACTTTGGAATTTTGGAGTATAGAATATTATGTGCTCCGAGTGATTCATTTCTTCATGGATGAATTCAAGCTTTGATGAGTTTATATATGGTCTTTTCAGATGACGATGATGGTGGATTTGATGATGACTTAGACAAACTGGGAGAAAGTTTGGTAAGTATGGTATCACGTGTACCATTTCCAGTCTTATTCTCCCTTTCTATACATATATTTCTCACTTCAGTTGTATTCTTTTAATTACATGTTTATGAATAATGGGCAGTATTGTAATAGTAGTATTATTATTATTAGAATATGTTGAATATCATACAGCTCATATGAGTTGCTATCCTATACAATTTATTATGAATAATTAGCATTTATAGGGAGAATAATTACACCCTTATTTAGATAGATGTATAGTCTATGAACACCTCTTATGTATTCTTTACAAGATATATAAAACATTGTCATATTTCTACATGGTATCAGAGCTCCCGATTCTAGGGGCTCTGCATCCGCGCTCAAAACACTAGCCGTTCTTATTACGGTCCTTCTTTTTTTGTCAAGGTTCCCTTTCTCTTGGAACCCTAGTGATCTTGGTGACTTTGCAGCCATCATGCACCACTCAACCGCCGTTGCAGATCCAGACGTTTTCACCTTCATCTTTTTTTTCAGGACAACTTTCATTGCTGTACCTCTATTTACTTGCTGTTTGCAGCCCTTGATTGTTCGGTTGTCATCGAGACGGTTTGTTTCTCTCTATGGACTCCTTGAGTAAGTTCTCTAACACTGGTTCTCTGACCATGATGGGTAAGAACTCTAGCTCCTTAGCTTTTAATGCCTCTTGTTCTAAAGATATCTGGATTATTGACTCTGGTGCAACTGATCACATGACTCCATATATGTCATATCTCTCTTCTTATTCACCTTTACCTAATAAACGCCATATTACCGTTGCAAATGGGTCTCAAACCCCGATTGTCGGATCTGGTAACATCCACCTAAGCCCATCTCTCCACCTAAATGATGTGCTTCATGTCCCTAAGCTTTCTAACAATCTGTTGTCCATCCATAAACTCACTAAAGACTTGAACTGTGTAGTAACCTTTTTTCATTCTCATTGTGTTTTTCAGGACCTTGCCACAGGTAAGACGATTGGAATTGCTGAGGAACAGAACGGGTTATATTGTCTGCCTCATAAGGAAAGTAAGTGTCATCAGGCTGGTTCAGAGTCATAGGCAAACACTCAAATATGGCTCCAACACAGGCGTCTTGGACATCCTCCTTTCCAAATGCTCAGGTCTCTATTCCCTCACTTATTTACCAAAGTGTTTGTTGATTCCTTTCATTATGATGTGTGTCAGTTTGCCAAATCTAATCGAGCAACCCATTCCCCTAGTAATACTAGGAGTGTCGAACCCTTTGATCTTGTTCATTCTGATGTATGTGGGCCTTCATCCATTTCCAATATTTCTGGGGCAAAATGGTATGTTACCTTTATTGATGACTGTACTCGGGTTACATGGGTTTTTCTTATGAAAGATAAGTCTGAAGTGTGTCAATTATTTGCTAACTTTTTTCAAATGGTCAAAACACAGTCTGGGAAACCTATTAAACGGTTACGGTCAGACAATGGTAAGGAGTATGTAAACCAAAATTTTTGCAATTTTCTCAAAACTAATGGTGTTGTTCATGAGTTGATTTGTGTTAACACTCCACAACAAAATGGGGTTGCTGAAAGAAAAAATCGTCATCTTCTTGAAATCACCCGAGCATTACGCTTTCAAATGAATGTTCCTAAATTTTATTGGGGGTAAGCTGTCTTGACCTTTGCTTATTTAATCAATAGGTTACCTTCTAGGGTGTTATCTGGTGTTAGTCTTGTGCAGGTCCCGACTCGATTCTTTCCGTCCGTGCCCATCTTGTCAAGTCTTCAGAATCGTGTCTTTGGTTGTTCTGCCTTTGTCCATATTCATGGCCCTCATCGGGGTAAGTTAGATCCTCGGGCTATTATATGTATTTTCATAGGATATGCTTCAGATAAAAAGAGGTACAAGTGTTATCATCCTCCTAGTCGTCGTGTCTATATATCCATGGATGTTACTTTTCAGGAATCAGAGTCTTTTTATCCCAGTCCTCAGCTTCAGGGGGAGAATAATCAAGAAGCTGAGTCTTCAGAGTTGTCTATTCTTCCTGTTATTCCTCTAATACAGGACCCAGAGCCGTTTCCTGAATTGTCTGTTATTCCTGTAATACAAGAGCCTTTGATGCCTAATGAGGATGGTGGTGATGTATCAATACCGTTGCATAATAATGATGAGGATGGTGGTGATGTACCAATACCGGTGCATAATAATGTTGACAGATACAAGTTACAGTTTCAGCGAAAAAGGTGGAAAGGTAAACCCGTTCTGCCCCAACAAGTCCAATCGTCTGAACCTGAGGTAAGTGTTCCTAACCCTGAGCCTAGTAATTCTTGTGAGCTAAACCTTGATGACCTACCTATTGCTTTGAGAAAAGAAAAAAGGTCTTGTACTAAATACCCTATATCCCAGTTTGTGTCTACTGAAAAACTTCCTGTGCAGCATCAGAGTTTTATTTCAGCTATTGACTCTATTAGAGTCCCTACATCAGTACAAGAAGCATTAAAGGATAAGAACTGGATTCAAGCCATGAATGAAGAGATGCATGCACTAGAGAAAAATGGGACTTGAGAGATTATTGAGAAGACAAATGACAAGAGGCCAGTAGGTTGCAGATGAATATATACGGTAAAATACCGATTCGACGGCACACTGGACAAATATAAGGCGAGGCTAGTTGCAAAGGGATACACCCAGACCTATGGAATTGATTATGAAGAGACATTTGCTCCAGTAGCAAAAATGAACAATGTAAGAATCATTCTTTCCTTGGCAGCTCACTTTGATTGGGAGTTGCAACAGTTTGATGTGAAAAATGCTTTCTTGTATGGAGAGTTGGAGGAAGAGGTGTATATGGAGATCCCACCTGGATATGACCCTACTTCAGGAAGTAATAAGATTTGCAGATTAAAGAAGGCCATATATGGGCTCAAGCAATCACCTCGAGCTTGGTTTGGAAGACTCACTCATGTTATGGTGTCCTTGGGTTATAAACAAAGCCAAGGTGATCATACTCTCTTTATAAAGCATTCTCAAAATGGTAAACTCACTCTTTTGTTAGTCTACGTAGATGATATGATCATAGCAGGTAATGATGAATTTGAAAAGATGAACTTGAGGAAGGAGTTGGCAGCTCAGTTTGAAATGAAGGATCTTGGAAAGTTGAAATATTTCCTAGGTATGGAAGTAGCATACTCAAAACAAGGCATTTCATTTCTCAGAGAAAATATGTCCTTGACCTTGTCAAAGAGACTGGCAAGTTGGGTTGTAAACCTAGCAGAGTGCCTATAGAGCAAAACCACAGGATTGGGAGTGATGAGGAAAGTCCAAGGGTTGATAAAGCTCAATACCAGAGACTTGTGGGAAAGCTCATTTATCTATCTCACACCAGGCCTGACATAGCTTATCCGGTTAGTGTTGTCAGTCAATTCATGCATGATCCACAGGAGAGGCACTTACAGGCTGTGGATAGAATCCTGCAGTATCTAAAGATGAGCCCAGGAAGAGGTCTATTGTTCAAGAAAAGTGAGCAGTTGTCTATGGAGGTCTATACTGATGCAGATTATGCAGGGTCGATTGTTGACAGGAAATCCACCACTGGATATTGTATGTTCTTAGGTGGAAACTTAGTGACATGGAGGAGCAAGAAACAGAATGTAGTTGCCAGATCAAGTGCAGAGGCAGAGTTTAGAGCCATGGCTCAAGGAGTTTGTGAATTGTTATGGATGAAGATCATTCTAGATGACTTGAAAATAAAATATGAAGCTCCTATGAGACTTTTCTGTGATAATAAGTCTGCTATTAGTATTACTCACAATCCGGTCCAACACGACAGAACAAAGCATATAGAGATAGACCGACACTTCATCAAAGATAAATTGGATAGTGGTCTTATTTCTACACAGTACGTCCCATCAGAACTCCAGTTAGCTGATGTGCTCACCAAAGGACTCCCATTGGAGCGGTTTCGAGATCTTACTTGCAAGCTGGGTATGATAGATATCCATTCCTCAGCTTGAGGGGGAGTATTGTAATATTAGTATTATTATTATTAGAATATGTTAAATATCATACAGCTCATTATGAGCTGCTATCCTATACACTTTATTATGAATAATTAGCATTTATAGGGAGAATAATTACACCCTTATTTAGATAGATGTATAGTCTATAAATACCTCTTATGTATTCTTTACAAGATATATAAAACATTTCCATATTTCTACAGGCAGAATATAATGGGCGGAATAGAATGTTGGGTAGTTACAAATCAACACGAGAATAGAGTAAATGTAGGAGAGATAGGATGTTATGTTGGATGTGTGGTAAAACTAATAAGATTATAAATGACAATATTAAAGAATGTTGGGTTAACACCTATAGTAAAAAAGATGGTGGAAAATAGAATTGGTTTGGGTATGTAGAGAGAAGATCTATAGATTCAGTTGTAAGGAGAATAGATCAGATCCAGAGGCAGAGAAAGACCTAGAAAAATTATAAGAGATACTATTAAAAAATATCTTGAGATTAACAAATTGGATAGAAACATAGTCTTAGATGTAATTATGGTGGAATTCGATGTATGTAACTGACCCCACTTAGTGGAATAAGATTTATTGTTGTATTACATTTTTTTACTAACAATAAAAGAAAAGAAAAGAAAAGAAAAATTTCTTCTTTATCCTAGACAATGCATATCTAGGTTTGAAAAGGAACCACGATTTGAAATATTCCCTTGGGTTGCATTTTAGGCAAGCACTTGATCACTCATTATTCTTATTTAAACTGATAGTGTCAAATTAGTTTTAGACAGCTTAAATATTTAAGTTAGAAGGAAAATTTATAAGTTAGAATGAAAAATGTCTTTATTTTTATTAGATAGCTTTTATCTTCTTCATAGCTAAGAAATTTACAGCTTTTAGAGTTTTAGTCCTTGGCGTCCTATCAATTGGTGCCTTTTTTTCGATCGCATTCTTGTTAAATGGGGTTCTTGATGGAGTTTTCGAACTTTACGGAGTAGAAGATGCATATTGGTGGATTCTTTCCACTGAAATTATCTTCTGGACTATAGGAATTTTGGAGAAAATGATGTGGCTGCAATGGCCAGGAGAGCTCATGCTCTCAAATGGTGGCAATGGTGGTCATTAGGTCACCCAAATTCTAATTGGGATACATTTACAACATCATTGCTATGGCATTGTAAGTTTGAATGGAGACCCATATTACTGATGGAAGATGGGGAAGAGGAATATGATGCTGAATATTGGGACAGTGGGTCACCTCTAATCCCAAATTGCTTTGACATTGCTTTTCAAGGTTTTGAAAATTTGTCACACCGTAAAAAATGGAACACCACAACAACCATACTCTTTCATTCAAAACCCTAGTTTCCTTAATTTCCTTCGTCATCCCTCTTTATCACTTTCCACAACGTGGGTCATGGGTTCCTATCCACAGCCCATTTACTTTGAAGCAACACGTCAAGATTTTGACAACCCTATTGTTCTAATTGATGAAGAGATACCCCCACCGGAACCACCTGATGAAATCTCGCTCTGACATCAATGTATGGTGAATCAATCGTCATCATCATAAAGGCAACGGTTAATGCTAACCACTCTTCTTCCTTTGCGCGTGGCCACTGCCTCCTCTGGGTTCCTCACTGCCACATTCCAAAAAAACCCTCCACCCTTTAGTTGGCAATCTGACAGTAGTCAACACAGTCCGCTACTTCGCTTTCATCTTTGCAAGTTCGGAACTGGATTGTTCTCCACACTTTATGAGCTTTGACACTGCAAGTACTATTAAGGGAAGCATAATAAAACTTCTCATGAATTGGGTCAGCTTATCTAAGCTAGGGGTTGGAGATATTGATTTTGTGTCTTGTAGCTTTACAGTTTATCAAGCTATGCTCGTGAATTGGATGAGGAATCTTGAAGTTGGTATTCCTTCTCTTCTTGAAGATGGAATCAGTTTGCTTGTTTGTATAGGCGAATATGATCTTTTCTATGACTGGCTTGGTAATTCAGGATGGGTTCATGCCATGGAATGGAAAGAATTTATCACCTCACCCGAAGTTCCTTTCACAGTTGATGACTCAGAAACTGAAGATGAGAAGAAGAAACAGGATCCACAGAATGTTGAAGCTTGGATTGAGCATTGGTGATGATGGTGGTGAAGTGTTGAAGAACTATGGAACTTTAAGTTTTTGTATTTGGCCTGATAGTGATAACGTACGAGATGATAGCATGCCAGGGAAATTTTCAAAAAGGTGGGAAAGAACTTGTGATTCTGGCCAATTATTCATTACCTACATGCACAACCTTAATATGATTAACGCTAAGTATTTCTTCAAGGGTGTGATTGTTCATAATCTTAAGGCTTCGATCAACTTGAACTCGGCTAGGGTCAATATGGGAAATGGTACTCATGTCTCACCCACTATCATTACTCTCATGCACGATTGGTTATCATTACTCCCTGTATTATATGTTATAGTTGAGGTCAAACATTGCACCAATTTTATTGGGTTAAGAAGCAAAAAGTGTCAATGAAAATGATCAACATGTGCAATCACTGTTTAGAGAAGGATGGGGAACGAATGAAGGCTTGATAATATCTATCCTGGCTCGTAGAAATGCAGCCCAGCGTAAGTCAATTTGTGAAACTTATGCTCAAACACATGATGAAGATCTTCTTAAAGATTTAGACAAAGAACTTTCAAGTGATTTTGAGAAAGCTGTGTTGCTGTGGACCTTGGATACTGCTGAGCGTGATGCCTTTTTAGCTAACCAAGCAACTAAAAAGTTGACTTCAAACAACTCTATCATCATTGAAATTGCTTCCGCGAGATCTCCACTTGAACTCCATAAGGCAAAGCAAGCATACCAAGCCCGTTTTAAGAAGTCTCTTGAAAAAGATGTTGCCTATCATATTTCTGGTGACATCCGCAAGCTTTTGGTTCCTCTTGTGTGCACATTCGGTTATGAGGGGGGTGAGGTTAACATGACATTGGCAAAATCTGAAGCACAATTGCTTCATGAGAAGATCGCAGATAAGGCCTACAATCATGAGGACCTGATCAGGATTGTAACAATAAGGAGTTAAGCGCAGTTAAATGTAACTTTCAACCACTATAACGATGAGTTTGGCAATGTAATAGACAAGGATCTGGAAACTGATTCTGAAGATGAATATTTGAAATTATTGAGGGCGGCAATTAAGTGCTTGACCTACCCTCAGAAATATTTTGAGGAACTCTTTAGGCTGGCTATAAACGAGACGGGAACTGATGAATTGGACCTAACTGAAGTGGTGACAACTAGAGCCGAGGTTGATTTGCAGCGAATTGCAGAGGAATACCAAAGAAGAAACAGTGTTCCTCTGGTTCGTGCAATTGGCAATGACACTTCTGGAGACTATCTGAAAATTCTGTTTAGAGAAGGTACATTTTCAGCTACTAAAAAGTTTCAATCAATTATTGATGTTGTTTTCTCCCTAATTTTAAGTGAAGTGATTAATACAATGGAGCTTTTGTACACCGAGTTTGTGTCATTGATGAAGCTAGAGCTGATAATTAAAACCTTGCTTCAATTATCACTAATCGGAAACCTATGTGCTACTATTGGTAATTGTATGAATGAGATTGAAAATAAGTTTTGTTGGACCACAGCAGAGAAAAGAAAATTAATGTTGACACGAGCGAGCACTGCCCTTGGTTGCTCAGTTTTTGGGACATTTACTGTGGGTAATGAGTGTTGTGAAAGGTGAAAAGGCCAACCTCTTTTAGATAGTTTTAGTGTTCTTTCTCTTTTTATTTTAGAAACCCGAATTTCATAGTTTTGATAGGAAAATCTTCCTATCACAAACCCAACGTTGCTATTAAATCTGACTATTTTGTAAACTTCTTTATACAGTTTCTGATTGTTGTAATATACTTGACTGCTTTCTGTTTTGCCGGATAACAAAGTATAAGGGCTGTTTAGTTTTTTCCTTTTATTTAATAATAGTATCCAATTGGCAACAATTTTGTATATAGCATTTTAATTTGCAGACTTGCTTGTATATACAGGAAGATGAGAAAGAAAAGGCATAAATGTTGGTTGAAATTATTGAGTGACGACATTATTGAAAGTGGTTGCAACATGCCTCAGAATATTCATGATGAAACAAGCCTTCTTAATTTGTTTATGTGTCACACAAAACGGTGCCTGACCTGTTCCATGATGATCATCACTTAATTTATTGTTTCAACTTTCAACCCTTCCTTGCCCCTTTATTTCACATGTCACTAGTTTCTCCATTATCTGAAAAATCAATATTAAGTAGTAAATAATTTTGTTATGTTTTGGAATACATTTTTCTTTTCTCTGTATATAATTTTTTCAAATTGCTAACTGCTACCTGGTCTTAGTGCGATCCAACATTCTCCACATTCCGATTAACCTTAAAGATAACATATTGAATGAAATTAAAATGTCTCCCACTTTCTCCCAATTACCATATAATACCGTCTTTATTCAATTCTTAATCATGTGTTTGAGGTTATTATATTCAGAGTGTTGTTCGCTTCTATTTGGCGCATCAACCATTCATTATAGCCTTTTCGTGTCACGTTTTCTGATTGTTTACATTTATTATCATGTATTTAATGTTCACCCATATGGCATATAGTTGGCTTCATGGAGGGTTTTTAATTGGAAAATTCAAAATATACTTGCACTTTTTCTATATCCTGTGTCCCACTTTAGTCATTAGTACTAAGATTATTATTTAATGATAATCAGCCTTGGTTAAACACTATTATTAATAAACAGAGGTCATGTTTGGTTTGTTTATTTTGGAGGCTTTCTATTAATATTGATAATAGCATGTCTTAACTCTTATAGTTTTTCTTTATTTTATTTTGCTCATGTCATACACCAACTGAAATTGCCACTATGTAATGGCTTACATGCTTTTGTGGTATGTGTAATTTACATTTTTTTTGTTTGTCTACTGGCAGGTCAGCCAGGCTTGTTTCAATATAAAATTTATATTATTAGTTTTGACTCTGTTAGTCTTTTTAAAGTAAGTTGAATATTTTTTTTTTAAAGTTTTAACATAAAATAAAATTTAATTTGAAATTTTTAAGTGTGTTTATCCAATTTAAATAAAATTTGGTTCGATTTAACTTGTTTTGACATTTAATAAAAGAATTAGTTAGACTATATATATATATATATATATATATATATATATATATATATATATATATATTTATTTTTTTTCATCATCAATGTTTAATTCATTGGATCGACTAATCTGATTAGTAGTAATTTTAGTTATATACCAATTACAACTGCGGGAGGTCTAATAAATATTTTAGTTAGAAGTCAAATTGACATATATTTTTAAGATTTAAATTTAAATAATTTTTTATATATCTATTTTTAATTATTTTTCACTTGTAAAATGTGATTATTTAATAAATAGAATTTTAATAAAATTTTAAAAAAATAGAAAATGTAAATTACATATTATTAAAAAATAAATACGTTATTTATTTTCAATGCAATAAATATAAAAATGAATAAGAATAACTTGAACTTTAAAATCAAAATATATAAATTACTCAAAAATATAACAATTATGATGAAAGTTATTTGAATTTAAAATATGAGAATTAATTTCATGAATGAAATAATATAGTGATTAAAACTGCAATTGAATCTACTTTTAATTGATAAATTGAGTTCAATGATTGAGTTGATAATTCACAATATTCTTATAACATGAACTTTTTTTTCTTCTTTATTCTTTTTCCAAAATTTATGAGTTCTACATGGATGTAAACTCTCCAGCTGGATTATTTACACAAGCTCATCTTGTGACCAGTTAACCACACATTTTCACTACATCTAATTAACTTATCCTGCCACCTTTTTTTAAGTAACTTTATCTCACATCTACTTTTTTTTCCTTCAAAGAAGAAACGGGAATCACGTTTGGTTGTCTAAGGATAAGCTGAAATACTAGTTTATTCCAAGAGTCAATTTCCATTAACTCAAATATATGCTACTTTATCATCCTTCCCAAAATTCCATTCCATACCTATACATCTTTTTTCCATTTTAATTTCTTTTAGGAAAAGTCACGTCCCAATAATAATGATAATTAGTACGTTCATGACATTCTTGATATGTTATCTACTATAGGTGCTACTTTTCTTTCTTATTAAATTACATGTTCCATCTAAGGTTAAAACTAGAATGTGACACTGGGAATAAAAGCAAACTTAACGTAACGTGACTAAAAAGAAAATGAGAAATGTTGGAGTTCAACGTTTTTGTTTACTCTTTTAAGCAAGGTGTGTATTATTATTATTATTAATATAACTTGAAAAAATATTTGTAACGTGCAAATGCTAATAACTAACTAAATTCACTCTTTCTTAATTGAATCAAAGAAAGAAAAGGAATTATGCATGAGATTGGTAAGATGTGGTTTTTCTTCATTATTGTTTTAGATGTCAATTCTATGATCAACTTTAGAATTTTCTTGAAGAATAATTCTATCATTGGATTCATCTAAGTTTTATATTATAAAAAAAATAGAGTTGAATTGAACCAGATTTAATTTAGAATCACATTTCACCATTTCACACATATTAAAAAATAGAATAAAAAGTATAGTGAATAATTTTACTAAAGTATTTTTTATCAATCATTGTTATATTCAAACTATTATCAATAAAAAAATAAAAAATAAAAATAAAAGTATTAATTAGAAAAAAATATAATTTTAAATTATTTTAAAAATTAAAAAATAATATTTATTTAAAAAAGATAAATTTGAAGTTTATTTTGAAACAACAGAAAAAAAAAATCAAAATTTAAATATGGCATGTATCTTGCATAAAGTTTGTTTCTCTGATTTTTTAAAATATAATTCTTTCTTTGATAAAAAATAATATAATTAATTATAAAATTTAAATCCTAAAAAGAACATGGCAGGTAAAAAATTCGATATAACATGTGAAATATATTTCATATAAATGTTTTTAAATAATCCCTTTAATATATTTTTAGATTTATGACAAACTAATAGATGATTCATATTAAATTATATTTTTGAAACTAACAGAAACTTTTAGAAACTCTTAACTTATACAAATCATATTTAAATTCTTACAAAACAATAATAATGCATTCAAATATGTTAAAAATGGATAAAAACTAATATGTTTAAATTAGGTCCGTATAGAAACTATCAAATTAGATTTTGGAATGGTTATCAAAAAGTTAGATTATGATTTTGATAAAATATAGAGATTTGCTATAATGAGATGCAGAAAAAGAGGTCAATAAAAAAATTCATCTAAAAATTAAAATGTAATGAAATAGAAATAAGAAAATGCGGATATTCTTTTAAGTTGAATGAGTATCACAATATGAATAATACTTAGATATTTAGTATAATTTGTGGTCTACATAATTATGGATTAAGTCATAACTTTGTTGCTTATTTGATTGTATGTCGTTTGGATTTCTAAAAATAAGAAACTTGTTTTTAATTGAGATGACAATGAATATGGTTAAACTCAAAAATATACTTGCAACTTTGAAAAAAAAAGAAGACCGGGAAGTGTCTTAAATATGAAGCAAGTATACAATGTTCTCCACCAAAACAATGAGGAGATAAAGGGTCCAGGATATGAAATGCAACAATTTTTTACACTCTTAGATGATCAGCATTATGCATCTAGGTATAGCGTGTGTAAGGATGGAAAAACTGTTTGAGATATATTTTGGATGTATCCTTATTCCACCAAGTTTCTTAACGTATTTCTTATGATATTGATAATTGATTCAACATATAAGATCAACAAGTACAAATTTCATCTTCTAGAAATTGTTGGTGTTAGGAAATTACGCACATTTCCTCATAGTCAAATTTGTGGAATAACGATATAAATGTGGAATAATAACACACATAATTTATAAAGGCTGCTAAGACTTTTTATTTAATAGAAAGATAAAATACACATTGTATTTAAGAATTTCTCTCACTGGTGTATTTCTTTAATTATTGAAAATACTCTAAACGTTGGAATGAATATTGTTTTGGCTTTGACATCTTATATATAGCCAAAGCATTGGATGCATCATTCGTAATCCATTCATTACGGTTCCTATAAAATAGAAACATCTTACTTCTAAATAATAAGAAAATAATGATCATCCAAATAATAGAAAACAAAGACTTTTTCAACAATCTCCCACTTGAAGATTGACTTCAGTCGATCTTCACACCTTGATCATGCAGCAGCCTTCTCTGGTATGTTATTCTAGCAGACCAATTGAAGTTGAGCACAACTTCAGTTTATCAATAGTCACCACCTTTATCAACATGTCAGCTGGGTTCTTACTTCCGAGAATCTTCCTCAACGTTAGTATCTCATCCTCAAGCAGAGTTCTGATGAAGTGATAACGGAGATCAATGTGCTTCGTTCTAGAGTGGAATGCTGAATTCTTAGCCAGATGTATTGCACTCTGACTATCGCTGTGCAAAACACTCCTCTCTTGGATGAACCCCAACTCTGTCAATAATCCTTGAAGCCATATCAACTCTTTACTAGCTTCTGTTACTGCTACATACTCAGCCTCTGTAGTGGATAGAGCAACGATCTTTTGTATCCTCGATATCCAACTAATGGTTGTAGTACCAACAATAAATATGTAACTGGTGGTACTTCTTCGATGATTAACTTCACCAGCAAAGTCTGCATCTACGTAGCCTTGTACCTTTAATTCACCTTTACTAAAGCACAAACACTTCTCCTTAGTGCCTCGTAGATACCTCAAAATCCATTTCACAGCTTCCCAATGAGCTTTACCTGGATATGACATAAACCTGCTTACAACTCCCACTACATGGCCAATGTCTGGCCTCATGCATACCATTGCGTACATCAAACTTCCAATGGCTGAAGCATACAGAATCTTAGTCATCAATTCTTTTTCTTCCTCCGTCTCTAGTGTAACAGCCCAATTTTCAATGATTGATTAATTGTACTAATTAATTGGTTTTTTGTGATTTATTTGAATTAAATGA